AGTGCCTTTCAGTTTCATCATAGTCCAGCTAAGAATTTGGCCAATTTTCAATCGTACAAATGTTTCTATAGTTCTGTTCGTCATGAAATGTGGGTGTGTGTGTCTGTGTGTGTTCGGAGTTAGTCCCGAATGGGTATTATTATGCAACATGCAATACTGGGTACCCGCGGCAGTTTAGGAATACTTGGCAGGAAATCTTGCAGTGTGCGTGACCACGTTCTTCAATGCACCTCCGTTCGTGACGTGGGTGTTATGTCCCCTTGCGGACTAACATACCATCAAGAGTACATAACCAAGAGTGTGCAACTGCCTGCACAACCTCTATGCTGTGCTGCGACGGCAGAACTTCACATCACGTGACATGGTTCAAAAGATTATGCTGGCAAACAGTGCAAAGTGACCACAAGAGAGTTGTACCCACAGCTGGGCTGCGTACAACCCAGTATCTATCATGCACTAGAGTGCACGGGTTAATCACGTGATGTGAAGTTCTGCCGTCGCAGACCCCATAGCTGGAGTTGCACACTCTTGGGTTATGTACTCTTGATACCATGCAAACGGTTTAGCAGATATATTATGACTAACTTGCATACACAACAGTGGGTACTTTAAGTACAGTGTACGCGCACATTTCCCGTATTGCTTGCCGGCATTGAGGGCACTTAGACATCACAGGGGCTTCACCAAGTCAATTTCGTATCGCAATCCTAGATTGGCTAGGGTACTGCCCTAGATAAATATGAATACATACTTTAGCATACTGCAGGGGGACTAGAGCATGCTGCGCGCAGTTTGTTTGCTGAAAACCTGCACGGCGGCCTTGAGCGTTTTCTTCTCCTTGTTTCTGTGCTATGACTTGTACAGGCTCGTCGACCCGGGTCAACGTGACAACGAGCTTCCAGGGTAAGGCCACGCCCACCGACGTGTGGTATGAGTACGCTGATTTAGACTTCATCCACCTTCATCATGGCGGCAGTCCTGGATGCAAGTTGCATGGCTATGATTACAACGAGGGTCCGTTCAGCATGCCTCTGTACAATACGCACAAGAAAGTCCGAGCCACGGTGAACACGCTGCTGAAGACGGCCGGAACGCCCAAAGTGACTGTCTACACGCGCAACCCAGACTTCAAGCACAAGGAATTCCGCACGTTCACCTACCACGCGAGCAACGACAGCTGGACCAACGTCGCCGACCCGACCGCAGCCTACGGCGTGGCCATCTGCTCTAGTAAGTTTTCCCGTGCGGTTCTGCCCGCCTTTCCATAAAAAAATGCAGCTCTTGCAGTAGGAATGCTCTGCGAGGAGATAATAATTTTAATATAGCTATGAATAGGACGAAGGTCGCAGACGTCACACGCCTACGTTACTTGTTCGACATGCACGTGTATTTTATAACAATACTATTATTGAAACCCAGAATCGATTTTCTCGTTCCAATAATCAGTGGGGAGAAATACGGAACCAATGGCACTGTAGTGCACTGCCATTGCACACACGCATCCAGCATGCATCAATAAATTGGCGAACAACCCTTGAACAAGAGCATGCCCAGTATGATCATGCTACTGCTGTGGAAGTAGATATATTACTACTAGGATGCACAGTACACAATCATGAGCAGGTCCAGCCGCATTCGTCGCGCCACGTGCATTCCATGCAGAATGTCAGGGGCGGGGGCGTGCTTGTTGAGGGCGACGGCCATGTACTCTGGGCTCTGGGCCGGATTTCAAACAGCGCAACCTTAACTGCTTTACCTCCTTGGACTGGCAGGTCCTCTGAGGCGTAGTTGTTCAAATGCTCCGCATTCCACTGCCTAAAACCGTAGCAACTAGCAAGTAATTTTGTCTTAGCACTGAGGATTTCAGTATTATTCTCGTTCAGGTTTAATTAATTGCTAGCTACCTTGCCGTTGAGGTTTCGTTCGGATGCGGAAATCCTGAGTCTAGCACAAAGCAGTGTTTGTGTTTCCTTTTACAAGCGGAGGCTTCGCACTTTGCCTTTCCCGGTGTTGTGGTGTGGCCATGCCACTGTCTGTAACGAGCCATTTGTGTGTGCGTGTGTGTGTGTGTGCGTGCGTGTTTCTTTGGCATATGTGTGTGTGTGTCCCCGCTCACAGGAGAGTACCATTTCCAGCCCAGACATGATTTCAATTTCAACTGCAACGGCGTAAGGTACAACGTCTCCACCCACAAGCGCCAGCAGGTTTCCGCCTCGTACTACTGCGAAGCCGCGGGCATGTGGGTGATCAACTTCCAGCAGTTGACCAAGCTGAAGCATGACAGCTGCTTCAACGACGACGTTCTTGGCACCCTGAAGGCCGGCACTGCGGAGACCTTCTGGTTGGGCGGCTACGCCGTGCCGCTCCAGGATTTGACCTACACTCGCCGTGTGCTGGAAGGTGTGGACACCGTTAACTACGCACAGCCAAGTGACCTCCACGCAACAGTCTGTACTTTCCGCAGCTGTAAGTCATAGTAGCAGCATTTGCGTTTAATTTTATATTTCAATTGAGTGTTCTATTTATTTCCGAAATTGGGTTGTCTTTTTGTCTTGACTCTTACTTCATGGTGTTGTGAATAAATCCATTCTCAAGTAGTGGTAGTGGCAGTAGTAGTAGTTTTTTGGCTATGCTTGTGTATGTACTATGTGCACGGCGTCTCTTTGTGCGTTTATCAGCCGATCCCTGCATACTGTAAGACGTGCAATTGTCGGTGTGCACTGCATGAGAAGGGGATGCTGATGACACTGCATATGAAGGGGATGCTGATCGCCTGATTCTACATCACACCAGAAACTTGGCAGGTCCCTGGCACCGAAATTTAAGTGCACCTAAAATGACATGTTATACCGTAGTGCCCATGGCAGAGCAAAAAGCAGCTCTTCACACATCCTCGTGCCTTCGCCCAAACATGGCCGAAATCACCTGGACATGAAACTTCTACTCATCGTTACCCGTGTTTGCCTGCTGTGTGTGTGTGTGTGTGTGTGTGTGTGCAGGGAGGGAGACATGTGACCCGGCCAAGAGGTATTGCAAGTCTGGAGAGATCTGCCAATATGATGACCAGGGGCAGCCTCAGTGCTTTGGTAAGTCCTGGGTCTCTCTCTCTCTCTCTCTGCCTCTCTATCTCTCTCTATCTCTGTCTCTCTATCTCTGTCGATCTCTCGGAGCAAAGAAGAACGGCCAGGCTAGACTTTTTTTTACCAAGCACAGCATACCAATGTACAACCAGTGACTCAACTGCACATAGACTGTAAAGGTCTATGCTAGGAAGCTGCCCACCCCCAGTTCTTCAGCAACCGACAGTGCTGTCCGAAGAATTTCTGACTCTTGCCCAAAAGGAAACTAGTATCTGAGGTCGTCAAGAGAGAGATTGATTATCATTACTACAGTCCCTAACTTGTTGGTGTCTCCCACACATAGTTGTAGATATCGTGAAAACAACAGCACGTCTTGCATTGTGTGACCCGTGCAATTACTCCTTGCCACATTTGAGGGCAGAAAAGTACAAGAACAGGGAATTAGAAAGTCAGCCAGGTTTTGCAAAATTAGGACAGGTATGCCATGGCAAAATGTATGGAGCAGATCCCAAACCCAGATTTTTGAGTGGGGTTTGGTCCCCAATTCGGCCCAAATCGGACTTTCAAAGGCCAGCAGGACTGTTTCTGATGAATGTACTGTACAGGTGGCAGCCAGCATAGAAACTTGCATTTTTGATTTGTTTGAATTTGTCATTTTCTCTGTCGCCCCACCACTGTAACTGCTACTGCTACTACTACTACTACTACTACTACTACTACTACTACTACTACTACTACTGCTGCTACTGCTACTACTACTGCTACTACTACTGCTACTACTACTGCTACTACTACTGCTACTACTACTGCTACTACTACTGCTACTACTACTGCTACTACTACTGCTACTACTACTGCTACTACTGTGCGTGTGGATTGCAGCAACCGAGACTCCCGCTCTCCACCAAGTGTACCGGAGCGCTGGCAAGAAATACGGTTCCCAGACCTGGTTCAAACTGCAGAACAATCTGCTGGCGTTCGTTCCGAAGGAGAAGGCGGAGTCCCTGTGTTCCCGCACGTCCACGCTATTCGGCTACGCCGGCGTGTTCAACATGTTTAACTACGAGAGTTCCACGGATATCCGCACTGCCGTAGACAAGATACTCCTCTCGCCCGGCCTCAGCCAGCTCTCGATTTATGTCCACGGTATAAATTCCATCGGGCAGGTAGCCAACCACTACCGCACGTTCACCCTCGACAGGACAAGCGGCAGCTGGACCAACGTCATCAGTGCGCACGCCACCGACGGTCTCGCTGTATGCACAGGTATGTTTCATGCTAATAGCGTGCAGACAACAGTATACTGAACTGTCGAGTACTGTACACTGTAGTGTCTTCTACGTACAGTTGGGTGGTGAACTGGCCCTGGGAGAAATGTATGCTGAGGTTCTTGCTGTGTGCCCAGGTACATTCCATGCTAGCACAATGTCGTCTGTATCAGCTTACGATTTTCTTGGGTTGTGGAAAATATAATTGAAGAGTAAACCTCATGCATGACTGTACTTCCATAACGCTATTCAGATGGAAGACTGCCTCAGAGATGCCGCTTATAGATGAACAGACCCTTATGCCTTCCCCATACATACTGTGTTCACGGACCACCGCTATTGGTACGTCCGTCAATCACTGTTTTTTCTTGAACGTGCATGTATTTCTAGAGCGTATTCTCCAAACGTAGCACTTCTCAGGCCAGAGTTCCCTGTAAGAAGGCGATGACGCCTGTGGGGAATTCCCTAGTGAAATAAGAATAAAAAAATTAAATAAATCAACAGCACCGCACACTGTAGGTATCCAAGAAAAATCGCAAAAAAATCTGCTTTTGATGATGCTTGCGCTTTCTCGTGTTTTGCTTTCTGCATTTCACAGCTCAGCTACTGGAGGACTTTGTCGCCGAGTCCACGCATACCTGCATGGGAGCAGACTTCCACGTCTCCGCCAACAGCTTTACATTCAATGCCGGCACACGCTACTGCAGAAGCCTAGGGAAAATCATGCTCACGTATAACACGCTGCGCCTGGTCTCGCAGAACAACAGCTGTTTCCGCGAAAGTGTCATCCGAACTCTCCGCAATAAGGGACAAGATAAGTTCTGGGTCTCTATGGTTGGCTTCTATGATATGAACGAGGCGTACGACCCAGTGGCCAATGAGGTGCACTACGACGAGGGAACGAATGCGGTCGTCTGCCACCGAGACAGTGAGTAGTGGATTAGCGTTGGCTTGCTCTGATTTTGTCCTTCAGTGTCTAGCTGGCAGCATGCTGTGAGACACACTTTCTGTGTAGATTTTAGGCACCTAAATTCCATTTATTGTGTGACCCGTGCACATACTGCTTGCCAGAAACGTCCAAGAACAGGTAAATAGAAATTCAGCAAGCGTTGACAAAATTGGAACAGGTATGCCATTGCAAAATGTAAGGAGAAACAGATCCCAGACCCAGATTTTGAGTGGGTTTTTTGTCCTTTTGATCCTCAATTCGGTATTGCATGTTCTGTGACGTTGTTTTTGTGACCTTTTTTCGTGACATTGTCGTTGCCCTGGGAAAGCCCATGCTGCATTGGTCACGGGCTAACGGTCTTGTTGCAACTGCTGCTCCTGCACAGACTTGGACACGTGTTCGACTTGGACTAATAGACCTTGCTCCTCGGAAAAGCTGTGTCGTTCGACCAGCTTCACTACCCAAGTGTGCCATGGTCAGTTTTATTGTGTCAGTGTGTGTAATATGATGGTGTCCATGGTGATGGTAGCAGTGCTAGATCTGGCCGGGGGGGGGGGGGGGAGAGGTCTTGAGCAGTATTGAGCAGCTGTGGGGATCTCCATATAAAGCCATTGCGTACTGTCAAATATAGAAGGTGGGAGTGCGTGGAAGTTCGCTGGGATCAGCAATGCACTGGCTTGAAGTCTTGAGTAGGGGTCGGGATTCCCATGTACCGGTACGCAATTTGTGAACAGGCCCGGAGCAAGCCAGGTGGTATGAATAGGGTTCCATTGTTGTATGAGTGCTCTCACTTTACTTTCATCAATATTAGGTTTCTTGTCTCCACGCCGACTTGTTAACATCCACTGGTGATGATCTGGTTTCTTGTGTTCAGATACGATTATTCATAGGAACATCACCAAAATGGAGCATGGAAAGTTTGTAAACTACACGGTCATCTACCAGCTGCCGACAGGAACCATCAGATACGAGTCTCCATCTGCCGCAATTCAAACATGCGCACTAAATCAATTTTCCCATTCCCATACCGTTGCTGACCCCTTCCGAATGGAGGAGTACACCTCGTATCACCACGTCTATCTTGCCGTCAACAATATGCTCAAGGCGATCGGAGTAGGCATCGACGTGTTCGTCCACGCCTGGTATCACACACCACCGCTTAACGGCGTATACCACACTTTCCGGTACACGCCAGAAGAGGGCATGACCAACGTGCTCACCACGCCCGAACCCAAACAAGGCGTTGTCATATGCACCTGTAAGTCTACTGTGCTTTCACTATCATATACGCACGCACATGCACACACTTGCACATGCACACACTTGCACATGCACACACTTGCACATGCACACACACACACACACACACACACACACACACAGATACACAGATACACCCACATGCTAGGGAAAGCAATGCCTGGGAAAGCAAGATCAAGGAGTTGTACACAACTCCATACAGAAGAGAAACATCGCATGTACATCTCTAAACAGCACCACCCCCCCCCCCCCCCCCCCCTCCCCCCACCACCCCCTATGAATGCTGCCTATGAATGCTGGATGCAAATAGACCAGAGCTCCAATACTTCGGGCATATAGTGCATGCATGGTACGGTGTTTGCTAACGAGCAGTGGCGCGTGCCTAATTGTGAAGTATTTCCGTCGTGTTATCAGGGCTTTGTGCTCCTCACAGCGAAACTAATCCACCTTCGAGCGATATTGGGATCTAATGCTTGGTGTTCTCTTCCTTTTCCTCTTCGTCTTTGTGTCATACAGCGCTTCACCCTCATGCTTACTTGTAGGCGAGGACAAGTAAACTGATCAGTTCAGCTCAGATTTTGCTTATATTTCATCCCATAACAATTTTAAACAATACATCCCTGTCATTTTGCCATTTTTTTCTCAAGAGAGCTCGGTCAACAATAATGTTTGGCTTGCGTTTTCCAATGACAACTATTTGAACATGAAGAACAGGGAAATCAGCCGCAAACTCCAGGCTTCATTTGCGCCGACATGCTATTACTCAATGTGCTTAATGTGCTCAATGTGTTACTCAATTACTTGTGCTTTCAGACCCTTTTGTCATAAACATCTGTGTGCCACCTTGGCCGTTTTTTCCCCTCATTTTCCATGCTGCCCTTGTGCTCCTGCGGCTTTTCACCAGGGGGTACTGAAAATACCATATACGGTATTTTACGACATGTAGTACGTGTACTCTCTGCTTTTTACCACCCCCGCTTTGATACACGCACTGCTAACCACTCTGAGGCCTGCAAAGAACACGGTCATCTCTCCCACTAATCGAGACTTACACACTGATTTTCGCGCCTTTGGGCTTTAACCATTATCCCAGGAATGTGACCGTAAGGGAGCATGAATTAATAAACTTCTTCACAACCAATCAGTTTGGTATGCTTTTGAACAGCTTGTGCAGCCCAAGCTGGGAATGCAGCTAGCACATCAGACTGACAAGTTGTGGATATGATCATAATATCAAGAGTACATAAAAAATAGTTTATATGTTCTCTTGATCATAATTATGCATACCGGTATGCATCACACATGCCATCATTTTTTTGGTGTGGAGACTGCAAAAAATGTGTTGGTTCCATCATTCGCATTGTCTTGCACATCGCAAGCATGCAGGAGAAGGGATGCATGCAAGGAAGTACGAGAAAAGAGGTATCATAATTATTGCGGCAGCTTCACATGCAGATTAGGCATGTGCATTACATCCTTTCAAAGAAGTTTAACTTTGACGTTTTTGTCAATGCCCAGGTGCGTCGCACGCGGTACGGTCACTACGGTATTGAGCGCACCACTATTTGCCCAAAGTACCCCTTGAATCAATAAAATGCACTGATTTGGGCGCTAAATTTCCAAGACTTTCGGCTCAGCCATCCCTCCCCCACGAGTAGATTGTACTTCAGATGGCTGACCGCACCACACTAAATTACCTTCTGACGCCCCTGATGCCTCGCAGGGTGAAAAAGTAGACTTAAGGTGGCTCACGCCTATTTCAAAAAAATTAACGATTGCTCTGAACATTTGGTGGGCGGTTGCTCTTAGGTAGTGTATGCAAATGGCGAAATAAAAAACGGGGTCTCAATGCTAACGTTTGAGATATGGGCGATGACAATTTCACTAAATTGTCAAATTTGTACAGGATTTGTGATGTATAGCGGATGGGTATTTCACCAAGAATCTGATTTACAATCTTCCTCATTTTTTGGCTATTGAATGTACTAGATGTGTACATGTCAATGACAAAATAGAAAAACATATGCTTCAATGCTCAATTTCGCCATATAGGTGCAGAATGCCTTTTTGATAAGTTCGCTTTGCTACATGTACATGCACACCTACATATCCCATGTACATGTCCATATACATCTACTCTTCTCTACTAGCCCACCCAACCCTGCAATACACATTGACACATGTATAAACTACTGCACTTCTCCAGCATCGCGATTTGTGGATCACCATTTATCTTCCCTGTTAGCCTCCTTAGAGACCACAATTCTCAAAGATACCACCATGCTCACAAATGTATTTCTTAGGCTTAAGTTCCCTGAGGACTGCACTATAGTTACAGCAGATGTGGAATCATTGTACACTAACATGGACTGGGCAGACACAATCACTGCGGTAAATGCATTATTACTTGAAGCAAGCCATCCACTTAGGTCTCTTCTCATTGACCTTCTCAAGTTTGTTCTCGAAAACAACTACTTTGTTTTTAATGACATACTCTTCCACCAAGAGTATGGAATGGCAATGGGTACATCTATGGCCGTCAACGTAGCGAACGTTTTCCTTTTTGTTCATGAAAGAAAAACCATTGCTATGTTCAGCACATCCATTCATTTCTTCAGTCGATTCATTGATGATTTAATACTTGTAATTGATGCATCAGTAGATTTTAAGCAGCTTCAACAGTCCTTTTATAGCGAGCTCCCTACGATTAAGCTAAATTGGACACCTCCTGCCTCCTTTTGTATCTTTCTAGACCTTGACATTTTCAAGGAACTTACTACTGATGACAAGCTCTGTATGTTTTTTTTTTTTCTACAAAATCCACATATCTCCAGACACTGGGGTGAATGATGGAGTGTGGTGGTGGGGCCCATTAAGCTCCGCCGACTAAGTTTCGAACTTTCCAGAAACCACGGAACGCTTATCTTTACATACCGTTTACTTCGGATCACCCGAAAGCAAACTTCAGAGCATTTATCAAAGCTGAACTTCTACGCTATAATCGCACAAACACCAACATGGCTGATGTACTAGCCATAAGAAGTCTGTTCTGGACACGCCTCCGCCGAAGAGGATACCCACCCAACTTCCTGATGAGTGTTTTCTGTGACGTTCAGCTTGCTGTGTGCAAAACTATCAAACCAAAAACTTCTCATAGTTCTGATGATAGCCACAAGGGTTGTGTGGGCCTCGAAGGCGCCGGAGAGAGAATAGAAGAACGCAGTCCCATAGATACACATACGCACACACACACACATGTACACACGTGGCAGCTTACTACAAGAGAATCACACAAGTTCACATGTGGGCATGAACCGTATTCACAGTTGGTCATACTGTCTTGGGCATATTACTCATGTTTATGAGGAAGGAGCAGGAGAGTGAGTACGTGACTCAGACACAATGCGCTTCGACATGCTAGCACATGCACCGGTTTCGGACAATGGCAGAACGTGACGGAGAGAGAGAGAGAGAGAGAGAGAGAGAGAGAGAGAGAGAGAGAGAGAGAGAGAGAGAGAGAGAGAGAGAGAGAGAGAGAGAGAGAGAAAAAGAGCACCAGCGTTCCAGCTCAAGCTCCAACTTTCTAGTTGCTTCTCCTGGTCACAGTAAACACAGAGCAGGGCTCAGGCAGTGCCGAGGAAGTGCTTGTACTTGGTGCAGTGTCGCGAGCAGGATAAACTTCCAACATCTCTACACAGTGTAGCTCTTCAGGCGCACACGAAGACTCAGAAACCGGAATATACTTAACATGATGATTGAAAGTCCACCAGCACAACAAAACTTCCAAGGACTGGTTTGGCACTAGCTTCCGTCTCATTGGCGTGTGCCCAGCCAGTTTTGGAAAGAAAGAGTAGACGTTCATTCCTCGTTCAACCTGCAATGAACTGGAGACAGCACAAACCAACAAGACGACGATGGTTGTCATCAGCTCATGTGTTCACCACCGCAGTGCTACCATTCACTTTCCTGCTCCAAATGCACTACCAGGCTGCAAGGTACTACTGTCGTGGACATGGAAATCCGGCCGCACGTATAGCGGCCCCAGGGCGCTGGCCATGCAGCCGTAGCACGGTTTATCATGCGCTGCTGATGGTGGCATTGGATCAACATGTGCACTGCATGCAACGTTCTGTACGCGCTGAGGGCGCCGGCCCCGGTCAATCGACTGGATTTCCATGTCCGCGACAGTACGATGTGTCGATAATAGACCGTGATTTGCATTTTCCAATGATTAGGACTGGTATTATTTTTATTTTCACACTTAGAAAGAAAAAAAGGGGCAGGATTTGATATGGATTATGTGGTTGTTGGCTATGTCACCATTTGAAAGAGGGTTGCAACCGTGATAGCACTGTAACATGAGTTTAAACCTACGTATTGCATGGTATACTCAACAGTTGGCGAGCAGAGAATTTCGTGCCGAATTCCGCCCCAAGGTTGTGCACAGCAAACAACTTGATATTATCATTAGCCCTACCCTTGTGCTATACGTACCCGTTGTGCCGATCGAGCCTGAGCCCTCTACTCGACTCCACGGTCCAATGACATTCGGTCATCACCGGCATAGCCAAATTCAAGTCACTCAAGTGTTGAGAAGTGTCTACGTCGTCGCACACGGCATGTGTCGACATACAAAAATATGTATACGATAGAGAAAGAACTACTGAAGAGCAGCCAACTGGTTTCAGCATTCTCCTTCAAAGGATAGGTCGGTGGCAGAGGACCAAAGCCGGACAATAGTTGGAAATTCTCAGCGTTGAATTTCTACAGGCTGTAGATACCTGGAAAAGCTCGATTTCCCGCCACGGAAAATAAAAAAGTCTTGATTTGGAGTGCTGGCGCTTCGCCTGGTCCTTGACGAGCATCTGTCTGAGTCGACTGGTTTTGTTCCGATGCAGCGTTCCTCCTTTATTCCCAATCGAACATGGTTGAACAAGCGGTCACGTGCTCCTGGGTGCCCAAATCACCTGGTCACTAGGCCTAGCCCAAATTTGCTCGGGGCGCTTCGATATTTTGCCGGCAAATTTTGCCCAAGCACTTTCCATATTATAGCAATAAAAACTGCTTTATGGCAGTTTTCTAAAAAAAGTTATTGTGTTCTAGTCCATGGACCCCGTCTAAAAAGTAAGAAATTACCGAAATGTGATAGCTGAAAATTAAAATTTCACACAAAACCTCACAATAATCACAACACTTGAAATGCTGCTTTCAACTTTAACTTGTACTGCACCAACAATTGGCAACATGCATGCATAGGAGAAAGGATCACGAGGGGAAAAGGTCTTCTACATGTAGCTTTTAATTCTGTGTGTGATTATTGTGAGGTTTTGTGTGAAATTTTAATTTTCAGCTATCACATTTCGTTAATTTCTTACTTTTTAGACGGGGTCCATGGACTAGAACACAATAACTTTTTTTAGAAAACTGCCATAAAGCAGTTTTTATTGCTATAATTTCTTTTGTTTTTTCTGTCACCAATCAATGGAATGCCCTACATCAAGAGTACGTGTACTCTTGCCTACATGTATATCAATATGTAAATGATGGCCTTCACATCATATCAAGAGGTTTATGTACTCTTGATCATATCAATACCGTATTATACGCATTGATATGCAAGCCTTTTCTTGCAGAAAATGGCACTAGCATAATGCATGTTCTGTGGGGGAACATGTGAGTAGTGGTGGTTATACTTTTTTAGACGCAGGTCATTCTGTGCATGTTGCAGAATTTCATGACTCTGTCATAAATTTGTCTTGCCTTTCAGATATTTCAGATTTCCCCACCCTCTATCAGATTTATTTGAGAAATGTAGCCATGCGCCAGGTGCGTGTCGCAGATGTTTTTGTTGATTCTGTGTTTATAATGGTTTATAATCATGGGTTATCGTGATAAGGTCATCCAGCATCATATTGCACTGAAATCGTTATCCTGTTGATGTCAATACAACTTTTGGAAGTAGTTCAATGACTTCAAACTGTTAGTCCCCGATTTTCTGAAACAACACAGCAAAGGAGGAACAATAAACATGTATGAAAATGTAAACAAATACATTGTTGAGTCCGACACCTCGTTCCAACAACTACACTGATCCTGAGGATAAAAGGGTCAAGGCTATGGTTGGAGGTACTGATACTGAGAGATAAACAAGGCACTCCA